AAGGTATTTAATACATTGAAAGTTTTATTATAACGCGTTATCTATTCAAATAAAGTTTATTTAAATATCACAAAAAAATTATTTCTACATAATAAAGAAATTGACATTTTTTATTTTAAAATGTTGACTATGCTTACTTCAGGGTGTCTGTTTTTTGTGACGGTGTGCGCGCGCATCGTAAAAAATTACTATCATCATTTTTCCCTAACGCACCAATAGAAGTATAACTTCAAAATACACTTACAACTATACCCACAACTCAATCGATGTTCGTTCGACGGTCGATGAAGTCTGTATTGAATAGTTATTACTGAGCTAAAGCTAGGAACCAGCTGTATTTGTAATGTCATGTAGAAGAGTAACAGCAAATACAAAGCTTTAATAATAATACAATTAAAACAAACCGACGATAACTCTTACGTAAATCTTTAATTAACCCTCAATTAAGCCCAATTTATTAGGCTGTTGTTTGTTGCGAAACAATTTAGAAACCTACAATATTTACCCTATAAGGGTTACATTTTAAACCACCCGTTTTAATATCAATAGCTGTTATACGATATATATATCGCGTTTAAAATTTAGTTAAGTAAATTAAATAAATTAATATTTTTTATTTTATATTTTAATTATTGTTAATGATAGTTAAAATAAAAAATTGTCGTTGATATGGTAATAAATACCTCCTTTGGACTAACATATAACCTTATCCGCTATAAAAAAAGCCCGATTAGTTAACGACTTATTTAAATAAGATTGGTTAGTTTTTAATGTATGGTGAATTATAGTCTATTTTCAATGCCATGGAGTGTCGGCTAAGAATAGTAATACCCCATCTCTACCCGAGGGAGTCGTAGAAGCGCGCGACTAATAATAATTATTTATTTATTGCAAGAATATGGTACAGAAATGTGTAAGGTGGTACAATCGTAAGTTCGCATATTCTGCCACACACAATGGCGCGCAAACTAAGGGGACATAAAATTGGGAAAAATGTGCAGCAGCGTTTTCTTCCTATTTAACCTCAACATAAACTGAGCTCGCCAACCCATTGGCCAAGCGTGGGGCAGATAGTGCTAAGAAGAGATCCGGCTACCACTCCTGACAACCATTGGCTCTGGTAACTTATAATGCACACACGCTGAGGACAGATGATAAGCTAGTAGAATAAGAAAATGTTTGACTCAGCCGGGGATCGAACCCGGGACCCATGGATTCGCAGTCAGGGGTACTAAACCAATGAGCCGAATCTAAAACGCAGTTTCATGTTATAATGGGTGATTTCAACGCAAGGTTAGGAAAGAAAGAGGATGGAGAGTATTATAAATTTGTATATGTCGAAAAGAACAATCGTAGGCAGAGATTAGCAGAGGTTATGGAGAATGGAGACATAAAACCGGAGAAAAGACTAAAAACGAGTTTGACTTCATCATGTCAACTAAAAGACAAATATTTAAAGACGTCACAGTGATACGTAGGGTGATAACTGGAAGGGATCACAGGATGGTAAGAGGAATTTTGAATATCAATATCAAAACTGAACGTACTCATCTCGCGCGGTCCGTTTCAAGTCCAAGTATAAGACATAAAAAAATCTCCAAAATCGCTTTTCATGGATGGTGATGTGGATAGTCTCAATAGTGGACTTATTGAGAGTATAAGAACGGTTAGCTCTCAATACTTTAAAGCTTCCCCTAAGAAAACGGTGCAGAAACTCTCAAAGGCCCTCCAACTTATGGCAAAAAGGCATCCAACAGTTGACGTCAACAGGCTAAACGAACGAACGAACGTTCAATCACGAATGAATCACAAAGACAAGACCAACTTTACGTCAGGTACTCTGTGAAATAGAGCGACTATTTGCCTTTTACCTATCACGCAATCGCGCGTTCCTTATAATAAAGCATACCCTAATCGTCAATCTGCACAATACTTTCCCAAAACACCCAAACAAAAAGTCAAAGATATTGCAAAAACACTCAAGGGACCACAGTATCTCCGAGGCTCGAGTTGGCAACACAAGGCACATTTGCAAAACGTAAACACTTCAATTTATGTCTCTTTGCAAAGTCGTAGATGTTTAAAAATAATACTCACCGTTTCGCTTAACGCTGTGACCACACCTGTGTCATTTTGATTGTATGTATTGTATTTGGTTTACGTGAGTATGTTTAAAAACTTATTTGACGGATATAGACGTTTCAAATACCGTGTAAACACTATATAACGAATATCAAGGGACTGAGCATTTTTATTCGTTATAGAGAGGTATCGTAATAGGGAGGGACGAATTAATGTATTTTTAATTAGTTACTCATTATTACGTTATAAAGAGATTTTCGTTATAACGATTGAATTGACGTTATAAAGTGTTTGCACTGTACTTGTAAACTGCTCTGAATTCAATATCGCACTATTGTAGTTCATTTAGTTCAAAGCCGCGTCGCCTCTGCCGCCTGAAAGCTCAATGTCAATGAAGAGGTTATATTTTTAACAATGCGACAGTTTAATTGTTGTAAATATTGTGATTGATGAAGAGATTAACATTTCAGAATTAATGTGAACCTGAAAAAGGGCATCAAACTGCCTACACTAAATCTAGTCCAATTTAACCCCATGAAGACACAAGTTTTCTGCTAAAAAAACACCCTTTGTCGCTACTCCTCTTTTTGAAGACACTCTTGTTTGCCCCTTGTTCTATAAAAAAAGTATTACATAGACACAATAAAATAAACTCTTTCCATAGACCTTATGAAGACACACACATCGAAGGATTTTATTTATTATGTCTTCAATAGGTACTTATAATATTGGGTATTTGTTTATATCATATATGCATAAAACTAAAACTTACAAAAAGCTATACTTATGTAAAACTGCGAAACAAAATGCCCAATGTGGTTGTAGCGTAATCTTATACCCTGCAATCGCGTATTTCGTCTGCTATTAAAAGTTCCCAAGTTGTGTTTCGTATGAATATTGTTTCAGTAATAATTTTACGTTATAACTTTTGTTTTGCTTTGAATTGGTTCTCACCAAGAAAACACATTTCCCCTTATGTATAATACAATGATGATTTTTGAATTGATTTAATATATGATATTTATTTGCGCGAAAGTGGCTCATGCTGGATATCTTACATACAAAAATAAAGAAATAAAATTCTGAGAATTTGACGGAGACCATAAATTATGATTGCGACAGAAATACAACTATAAAATGTGTATAAAAGTATAAACCTACTCAATGCATGAAACGCGGAAATCGCCAACTTTTTAAAGTGGAGAACCCAATTAAATATTTATTTTATAAGCCTTTGTTATTCGTAGGCTTTATAGTAGTAGCCTTTGTGTTTTATACCAGTTCTTATCAAATCTTAATTAATAATATATAGTCAAGATTTTATCGACATAAGACAGCAGAGCGCTAACAATTGCTGTCGCTCGATACTGACAGCGATATATTGACCTCACGAAGTCCTAAGCTCTTGCATTAAACTATATGAATATTGATACAATTTGCCACAATAATAGTAAATAATGCGATTAGCATGAAGCCGCTTTGACACAGTTTTATGCTATATGCACAAATACCACAGCTTTTTAATAAACCATAATCAATTAAATTTAATAATTCAATAAACCATACGCAAGCTCTCATATAAAACTCCACTTTACATTCATAAACAACTAGACCATATTATTCCACGGAATAATGTAAAAACGTTGTGAAAAACATTTTTCGCACTTGTGTTTGCGAATTAAATACACCCGACCCTTTAAAACTACGCTTTTACGTTATATTGTGTAGTTATTTTATAGGCAGAGTTTATTTTATAGTTGGGCCTTTGCGTAAAATAGGATGTTTTAAGGATAGGCCTTTTAATGGAATGCGTACATGATCTAACCTTAAGGCTGTATAGCTATCTTTTTGCATATATACTATAAAGTATAATTGAATTTGAATTTTAAAACATTACCTTTACCCAGACTAAAATTTTAAAATAGAAAGGGCCAACGTTCTTTGCTTAATAATTAATTTAAATTTAAGCTTTACGTTCTACACACATTGTTGAGAAAACATAGATTTCTTCCATTCAATTGTAATCTTTCTAGCAATAAGGGAAAATACATAGATGATACTTTTCTATTATAACGTTTGACAAATAAATTTATGAATTTTAAGAATATTCATAGCGCACACACCATCATACAACACAACCGAATTAGGTATTACTCAGTTAAATGTATTTAATTATTTTTACACGCTTTATATTAGCTTCACCTGTATGTATGTATGTATGTAACCGACTCCTTCGGACTCGATTTTGACGCACTTTTAATGGACAGATTTAATTCAAACTTTTCGCACCTGTCAAAGATCGATGACAATGCAATAATCCAAAAAAAAAAATTAAAAAAAAAAATTTAACTAAAAAATAAATAATAGTTAAAAAAAACTAGAACACACGCTTTTAAAGCACATCAAATTATTGTAATTATTGTTCATTACCATTTTCTGCCTAAATTAGGAATTATTTTTCACTTTTTAGTTTGATGTGCTTTATTTATTTTCTTTATAAGTTTCGTAAATGTTTACCTTTTAATATATATTGTGTATCCAACCTTTGGCTACTACTACTAATTGAGTTAGCGGTAAGAGTACGACATAAATAAATTTGAAAAAATAATTAATATTTATCCTTAGTTTTTTTGGGTAAAAGTAAAAGACAATATAATATTCACTATTCTATGAACTCACCTTTATCATAGACATTTCACAAGATACCCTATGGATTTCTATGGAACTAATTGGCAGAGAAGAAATACTTGAAAATCAATAGAATCTAGCGCCTTTTTTAAAAGAGTTCATGAGTCGGCTTTAATAAAGTAAAACCTATTATTCTAATAGTTTGTCATCAATGTCATGTCATTTTGGTTCTTGGTATGTGAATGAATTGTCGAGTTTTATTTTTGTAATTACTAGTTTGTAAGCCAGTTATGATGCTCCAAATTTCTAGTTCACCCAAACGATTTTTATCAATCTGGTACGTATGTAATTCAATATACAGTTTATAGTTCTAATTCGTCTAGTAATTAATCGATTCTGATTAAATTGAGGGAAGTTTTATCAATTCGATGTATACGTTAATATATGTTTAATATTAGATTTCTATAATTTACTTAAATTTCTTTGTTCAGTCGGCGTTTGATTATACAAATGATCATGTTTTAAAGTTATCTTTCATAAAGATTTAGAGCAGTATTGGCCTAGTGGCTTCAGCGAGCGACTCTCATCCCTGAGGTCGTAGGTTTGATCCCCGGCTTTGCACCAATGGACTTTCTTTCTATGTGCGCATTTAACATTCGTTTGAACGGTGAAGGAAAACATCGTGAGGAAACCGACTTATCTTAGTCCCAAACAGTCGACGGCGTGTGTCAGGCACAGGAGGCTGATCAGCTACTTGCCTATTAGATTGAAAAATGATCATGAAACAGATTCAGAAATCTGAAGCCCAGACCTAAAGAGGTTGTCACTGATTTAATTTTTTCATCGATTTCTTAAAGATGGGATAATTTTATTAACACGAAATGAATTAAATTTTATTGTTTGCAACGTTGATAGTGCTTTGCAGCAATCTAAAGGCCGATTTACATTATCTTAGTGTTTAGGAGAGTATTTTAGTACAAGTTGAAAGGCAAGTTCTTTAGTGCTTTAGTGCTTTAGTGTTGGAGTGAACTTTAATTTCTTCAGTAGAGTATATTACAGCCCAAATGAACGCGCAACACTCGGCAAATACGCTCTATTCTAGCAAAATACTAACTGTAATTATGGAACAATAGAAGACAATTTTATTCGAAATAAATAAAATAGCTTCTTTTAAGGCAGTGTATGCCGAATGCTATTTTGTTTTTAAAATTGTTTTTAACTTCCACAAACATTCGTAAACAACATATTCAGACACAAATTAATATTTCTTCCAACCAAGATTCTAATCTTTAAAAATCAAAAACACGCACGCTTTCACGGATTTCACTCTCCTAAAATTTGACTAAATTACTTTTAAAAAGAGGAAAGATCTGGGATTGCGCGGGCGCGGGAGGGGTATCACTTGAAACAAAAATAAAGGATTCTATTTTATTCACTTGAAATCAATAGAACTACTAAAGCAAGTAGGTTTAATGTTTCAACTAAATACTATCCTAAAGCACTCTGCTAAACACTAAGATAATGTAAATCGGCCCTTAGTCAGACAGAGACTGCCACATCAAGTTGACAGTATTAATAATTATTTAATATATTATTAAATATTAATAATGGATATCTATTGCTAATGCTTAATTATCAAGTTATTAAAAAGGGTCAATCGTTTTAATAACCATATTTTTTTGTTAATTCTTCTACTACAACTAATTGAAAGTTTTTTCCACTCAGGCGCAGTCCTGCTCAGAAGAAGACACACAAACACGTTATAAAACTGGCCACCGTTCGTCTCACTCCAAACTTAAAGCTCCTCTCCTTTAGGGTATCTCGAAATTTCCTTTACTTCAGCTTTGCTAAGCCCGATACAGATCTTCATGAATACATTGAACTGTGTGAGGACGATCTAATCCAGGATTAGGGAAGAGAGCGAGCGTTGGAGCTAGTAAGATTATCTGTTTATCACTATTATTCAAGGTGTCGAGATATTGCACCAATTTTGGGTTATAAAGTATTTTACTATTCTGAAATTCTATAATATTGAGTCCATCCATTAAACAACGTAATGAGACTTTCGTAAGCTAAGCCCAAAAACAACGATGTTTGCGAGAAAACGAAAAACAAATATTATCAAAAAAGCAGATCCGATTCTGCCGCAGTTAATCGCATTCCTCTAATTCAAGCCCAAGCGATACCTTTTGGTCGTAGAGCCAGAGAAGTGAGTAAGAGAGAGCTCATTTATTGATTGTCAGCAATAATCCTTTGGCACATGACATTGGTGTGACATGCAAATTTATTTTTACTATTATCACTTGAAACAAAATATAAAAGATTCATGGATTGATAATTAAACTGGACTAATTTTCGACACTTTGGTGTACGTCTTGTGTTTATGTAATAAGTATATTGTTGTAAATCCAGAAAATGCTTGTTTTATTTATGGCCTAACGACACTGAAACTATGTATTAATTAAGCAACATTCGAAGCGTAACACTTGACCCTCAACATGCGTCTCAAACGTTTAGTAACGATGCTAAACTTTTAATACCAAATAATAAGACGCGCGTCACGTTGCTCCTCAACTGGCCAGGTCACGCACTGTTATGCAATGTTGGCAAACATGTTGAAATGCGTACATGTCAACATTACCAACATACTCTCGAAAATCGGTTGTGTAAACCATAGGAAACCAGAAAAAGTAGCAGGCATATGATAATCTACTACTTGCCTGGCCTAGGAATCATAACCATCTGGGTGCCACTTCGCTTAGTGCGGGATAATTTCGCTCGTTATCATATTACCCAATTTTTTTTTAAATAAACAACACAGATATTGAGGCATAACTTTTTTAATTTAATTTTGGGAATGCTAGAAAAATTCATATCGCGAAAGGTAGCGGAATAAACAGACGACATTATTGCTCTCAGTGAATTCACAATGATATGAAGCTGAAATATTTTCATATTAAACATACCAACTTACTGAATTTGTTTAATAACTCACAATGAGTCAAACGGGAATTAAGGTTTTAGTGTATTGCAAAAGAGACTATTTTTGTTTGAATTTAGCACAAAACAAACATGTCTACAATATATTTTTGCTTTCTTTGATAAACTTTGTCATAAATGACAAAGAGTTTTATTTGCTCATGTTATTGTATAATATTCGAGTATGATTTAAAAAAAAAGTAATAGACGCTGGTATCGGATTCGCTTCTCGTTGTCTTTGTAAGGTTTTTAGTACCTAAAAATATAACATTGATATTATTGTTACAACATAATTTAAAGAAGTTCTTACGCTTGTCATAAATGTTCCAAAATAATGGTTTAGGAAAACATGCAACAGTGTATGTGAAAACTAAAAAAATCTATAGATTTTCTTCTACTCCATTCGCGTCAAGAACATTTCGTATAATTTTCTTTATAACCAGCTCGTTCCTGAGAGTTCACATAACTGACCAAGCAAAAATAATGCTTACTCCACAAAAACAGAGATGATTTTGGATTCCATTTCAAAGTACGTTAAGGCCCAATGTGTGAGTAATGGCAGGGTTAGAACGGTCGTGACTTCGTAAAATATCTGAAGAAATATTGCCGATAAATCGATTATACGAATATTTGGAGATTTGTAGGATTTTGGGATTGTAAATATCAATGACAAGAACGCTACCACTTAGACATCTGGTAGTTTACAACTATTGACCGCTACCTCCTTCAATAATGGGTAAAATCCAAGATAAACGGCGTGTGTGTAAAAATAAATTAACATAATGTTAGTGAGAGGACGGGTATTGCGACCGCGTAAGAATTGCTGGATCTGGCAAAGGACAAGACACGCTTCACGAGACTGATGGCCAAGAAGAAGATTTTTGTTTTACGATAATAGTCATTTTACACGAAGCGTTTCCAAATTCTTATGTACATACAACACATTCAGAAGTACTTTTTGTATTTCGATTCATTTATGTCACATGAAGCAAGGTGTTATGGCAGCTGCTCCACAACACAAAAACAAGCACATTACAAAAAAAAATTTTTGGTAATTAAAATGAGTGAATGTTTCTTGCCTTCCTTGCTTATTTCTTCTTGCCTATTATACGCCCTTTTTTTGAAAATTGGCAGTAACAGTATAATTAAATATTGACCTTTAAATGTACGTCGAGGTGATTGTATTCTGCCTCGACGTCCGATGATGAAACTCAGCTGCAAGTATTAATCCTAACTTACAACTCCTTCATACGTTCTCCATGGCAAATGCAGTAGAATTGTCACGTTTCTCATCTCTCTAAACTATTGATACATTTGAAAATGTGTTCGTGAATTCCCTAGTACGTGTACTGACAATCAATATTTATAATTATTATTATTACATTTTAAAATCTCCTAGTGAAGTACCCGGTGGAGCATGATACTTATATTGCATATGTGTTCCCAATTCAAGGTTAAAACTTTTAAATGCAAAACATATTTTTTATGCATAGAGATGTTTAGTTTACCATTTATTTGATATCGAGTTTCTAGTAACTATTAACGCTGGAAAACGATTGTAAAATGTTGATTGTAACAAAAAATGCGATTCCAATGTTATGAAAAAGTTACGTTGTTATAAATGTCAGTGTTTTATTGCACTAAACATTAGTAAGATACTAACCCATTTATTTTTACAATTAAATCAGTCCAATTAAACAAGTTTAATCAAAGAACTCATCTCTTTTCATCGCCGAGTAAACACAATTTGGCAAAACGAGAGAGATTATAAATAATATCCGTTACAATAAGTGCAATTACACTCTTCTATATTATCTTTATTTGCTCATATATACATATAATTTCATGTTTGCGTAATCATGACAAGCTAGTAGTTGTTTTGATGAAAATAAATGCCCCTTATTTTCATCAAAACAATGACTATTTGACCCCATAGATTGCCGTAAAATTTTAAAAATATTTGTTGGTAATATCGGTAATAGCGAGCACATTTTCAAAATCATATGTAATGTTTCTGCATCCTCAGGATCCTACGTTTTTAAAGTTTCCTAGTGAAGTATGAAGCAGGCACTCTTGTGAGTAAATTGCACTGTTTTCAAACCTCTAAGGTTATTGTATTGCATATGTCTTCCCAACTGGAGGAGGTGAAAACGTTTTTTATGCAATAATATTAAGGCCTGTATTCAATTTGATTAGTGATTAGTGATAAGGAGAAAACAAGCGTGGACAGCGACTGATACACAGGTGATAAGTTGGCTGCGTAGTAAAGTGATTAGAAGCCTGTTCTATTTTTTTGCGAGTGAACTGCGAATAGTGACGTCGCGTGCGCCCTCCCCTTGGACACTACTTGCACTACACTACACACCTGCACTAATCAATGTCAATTACTAATCACTTGCACTCGCACTAATCAAAGTGAATATAGGCCTTTCAAATATAGATTCGTTTAGTTTAATAACTTGCATTTAATATACTGTGTATGGCATAGACTGCGTTAAATAGAGTATAAGAAACTTTTAACTTCTACTTAGTTGTCAACAGAATCATTTAGTATGGTATAAAACTGTTTAATGTTTGCTTCCATTAACAGTGATATACGGGCCTAAAGGTTGTTTGTAAATACTTGTTTGTGGTCAAGCCTGATTTATATGACAGCTTGGTGATACAATTTTTGCGTGAAATTGTTTGTATACATAAATTTACTGTTGACGCTCGCAACATTCCTACTTTTCTGAATAAATGTTGAATTTTTTGGTAAAGATACTTTTCTTTAACACTTATATTTGCATATTTGGATGGCGCATATTTCTCTTGGTGCAATTATCTGATATAATTATTAGTTATACAATAATAACACATTTAGATCACAGTAACACAAAACAAGAGAAAAAATAAAATAGAAGACAAAAGATGTAAATAGGCGGTCTTACTTTTAAAAACAGTTTGTTCACTTATGTCGGGTATGTATCTTTGTATTATTATTTATTGAGTATAAAGTAGTTAAATATAAAGCGGTTGAGTAATTGAATTAAAACTATTGGATGACCTACTTATTCATAAACGTGTTATAAGCTTATGAAGCTGTTCTACCTATCAAGCGCGATAAGTTTTCTTTTCAAAACATTCACATATAAACCCAGTCGCCCTACAACCTTTTAGTTCCGGGCCTCAGATGTATCTTATGTTACATTATAGTTTTGGTTCTTAATTGGCAAATAAGCAATCAACATCTGTGCCTGATACACGCCATATATTGTAATAATCCATTGTTGCACAGCCGTGAACGCCTTAGGGTTGAAAAGCGCACGCTTATGATAAACATAGATTATATTTAAATCTAGCGCGGGGATGCTCCTTGTAATATGTATTTATTATCCTGAAATACCCAAATAGGTACGTTTATATGTATCTTTATTTAATTTTTCTTTTATTGGATAGTAAACAATTACATTTACATAGATGTTTTACCTCAAAACCTTATAAATCGATTGACGCCAGCTGCACGCACGAAAAAACATGAAACATTGTCACGTTCCGCCTGAGCCGAGCGTGCAAGCGTCAAAATTGACAATTTTCACTTTGACACACGAACCGGAAATGGTTGGTGTTCCGGTACAATAGTGCGTGCCTAGCAAGTTGGATTTTTAACCGCTGTCGCTTGCGCATTGATATTGAACCGCACACAGTACCTACTACCGCATTTTCTTTTTTTATATTTATTAAGGATGCAGTGCTAGAGTAGGAGACACACCACCGTTGATGGTAACTCTTAGTCTGATCGATTATTGGATTCCTTTTTTACTGTACTGAAACGCGACAGCCGAACCAGCCCATATGTTTTACGGAAGGGAGCACCCTATATACAGCTTCTGGATACCCACACAAACAAAAATGAAAAACTTCAAGAAGCATCCGTCACAGAAATATTATTTA